ATGATTTATTAATCTATCAATTTTACATTAGAAAAATATATATTATATATTTTTGTAACCTTTTGCCTTAAACAAATATTGTACCTTTTCTTTCTCAAAAAAAAAAAAAATAAAAAAATAAATAAAAAAACAAAAAACAAAAAATATATATGTATTTATAAATCTTTGTCGGATGACGGCGGCACCTATGGCTGGGCAGGGAGCGGTGGGATGTGGTGGTGGTGGCGGTGGTGGTGGTGGCGTTGGCGGTGGTTTCAGTAGTGGCTTTTTTACCCTACTGTAGTATATTGTTTCTTGCACTTACTTTGGCTTTCGTCAGTTCGCAGTGTGTTTTGTACGTTAGACTTCGATCTAAGTAGACTCCAAGGTTCTTGGGGTGGTCACAGTGTTCAAGATCTACGGCATTCCATTTGATCGTAAGCATTCTTTTTGCATCTCGGTTTCTTAAGTGGAAAGCACAAACCTGAGTTTTGGTCGGATTTGGTTTCAGACRGTTGGTGTAATAATATCTGGTCAGCTCTTCTAGAGTTTTTTTAAGTGCATTTTCGATTATTTCAAATTTTAGTCCTTGTGCTGTTAGAGCAAGGTCGTCAGCATATATGAAATGCTTCGTTCTATCACAAATTAGTTGGTCGTTCGYATACACGTTAAATAACATTGGTGCTAGTACACTCACTTGCGGGAGGYCGTTTCTTTGAGTCTTCCTCGAGTGCGAATTTTTCTTTGTAGCTCTCATACAGGGTTTCCAAATTTTTGTGCATGTCTGCTATATAGTTTTGGTGGCACCCTCGTGGTATGTGCTTCCTAGATACTATCTTCACTTTTTTTATGAAATGGTCGTACTCACTTGGGTAGGTTCAATCGTGGTAATAATATTTTCTAGCTAGTTAGTGAAATTTTTCYATTTTGCTTTTTTAAAGTTATATCGTCTTCGGAAGGGAACTTCAATTCCGTGAATCGCTGTATCTATTTTACTTATTATTAGTCTGTGCTGTGTTCTTGGTATTGGTTGAGCTATTTGTTTTGTACACAGCTGCTCAATATTTTCACTAACAAAAATATTATSTGGGTTGAATCCTCTCTTCCATCTTTTACTGTTGAAGGAGCTTAGTAGTTTTGGGTCATGTACCAGTTGTATTTGACATTCGTYAGCCCATTTCTCTACAAGCTCTCCATCTTCATTGTTGTCAGCGTATCCCCAGCTGAGGCTATGACTATTAAAATCACCAATGACTATTTTCGTATTTTGGTTTTGAATTTTGGGGGCTTTATAAACTTAAATGGTGTATTTGGTGCTTTATATATTGAGGATATTGTTATATTGCCCAGGTTTATGGTGATTATTTCTATATTCTCCTTGTCCGTTATGTGTACTGTTTGGACATTTAACATGTCTCTGACAAGAATTGCACTGCCATACTTATTGTGTGGCATCTAAAACAAAAACTAATTTAAAACGTGGTGTTGAGAAGACAAATGAAAAAAAATCTATAAAAAAGAAGCAGATGAAAATGGTAAGTTAAATCATTTTTACAATGGTTTACAATTTTCACATAAATTATTTTTTCTTTTATAGAATACATCATACAGAAACAATGTTGGTGATCATTTAAGATCAGAAGAATATGATGAGGAATTTTTAATTGAAATATAATTAGATT